AACTATGAAACGCGAACATTGAATTTCTTGTTCCCTCCCCCCTCCAAGTTATCTCGAATTCCTTCGAAAACCTGTTCCAAAACCTGTGTGCTTTAAGAAAAAAAAAAAAAAAAAAAAAAATTAATCGATTTAGCATAATAAAAAGCGATACATTTCAACGCAATCGAATCAAACGATCGAACTCGCCTGGATTATTTAAAGAAAAACGTTCAACATTTACGCTATTACGAAGAAAATTTGAGAAAGGAAGAAATCGTTACGATTCGGAATTAAACGGTTAAGGAAAGAGATCAAGAGAGATCTAAGAGATCGAGGGACACGCGGCACGCAGGCCTTGTAGAATTTGTGCTGCTGGCCTCCCATCGGTAACTCGGGTTACCGAACATTTATATATCGATCATCCCCGCTGCGCGATGACCCACTTCGCCCGATCGCGCGCGTGTACTCGCGAGGAGGATCTACAGAAGTTAATTAAGTTACCATCTTAACTTACATTTCAATAGCGTGTGTGTCGATTTATCGATGATTCACGATACACGATCGATGAGAAAAATTCTCGCGGACATTGATTGACGTCATATACGCGTTTATGGTTCGTGTTCATTGAATTCTCGGTCGGATCAGGATCACGTGACAAGAAAGGGAAAAGAAGAATCTAGCCGATGTTTCTTTTCCTTTTGGAGAGGAGAGTTGGTTTTCTCGTAGATAGGGAGCGTATCGTGTCGAATGTATATTCGATGAAAAAAATAAATAAATAAATAAACGAGATAAGCATTTGGAGGATTATTAGTGGAGAGGGGATATCTGTCGTTGCGCAAAGTAACAGGAAATCATCAACGCATCGATGATTCGTTCACTCTTCTGATATCTGTTTTCGAGACACGCGATACGTTGGCCGGTGTCACACCTGGCGAATCGGTGTTTTCTACGTCTAGACAACTTTAATTCGAGGAGTGTTTTACGCGCGAAAGGAAAAAGAATATTTTACGACGATGCTCGTGATGTTGAGTTGTAAGTGTTACGTTCACTTACGTTCTCTCACACTGGTATCAAACTCACGGCCAACGGGATGCTTGTTTCATTCTTAATAATCGGTGTTAACAAAAGGTTGCTCGTTTAATACGTGGAACGAGATTCGCACGGTATTGTAATAAAGGATTGGAAGTATCGATATATCGGGAAAATGAAACGACGCGTTATCAAATCACGAGAAATTATATATATATATCTTTTATAACTCTTCTCAGGAACCTCTCTAAGATATCTCTATATTTAATTAAAAATTTTCGATCACAGCGTTTCAAAATTACGTACACAAAATTCGCAATCGCCATCTTGACTCTATCGCGTTATGGATAGATTCAAAGATTCGCAAAGATTAGAGACAGATCGTTTCCACTCCCCTCGAGAAAAAGTATTTCCGCTAATAGAAGATGGAAAAGAAGCCGTGATTTTGTCGATCATCCGAAATCGTCCGCTTGTTCGATGTTTAATATCTATCGATCGCGATAATAAGAGGCGCGGTTGAGTGAAACCGAGGGATGCTAATTGATACGTCAGGCGAAGCGGTGAACCGGGTGAACGAGAGGTTTCCTTTGCGGAATGGCCGGCAATTAGTACATCCAGGAAGCGGGAGCGTAATCGAGCAATCGTTAACGTTAATCTATCGATCGTGCACCAAGAGTTATCGGCCAACGATTTCGTTATGATCACGAATGCGCCTCGTTTATCCTTACTTTAATCGTGCGCCACCACCACGATCACGATAGAGAATTGAAAAAGCAGATTACCGGTAACAAGTCGATACCGGTTAATCGTTAACCGATCTAACCGATTGATTTATTCAGTTAGAAAGTGGACGTTAAAAGTATTCTCTCTTTCTCTTTCTTGTTTCTTCTTCTTGCTCCTCGAAAGTGGTAATATCTTTTAGAAATTTTTAGAATCGAGATTTGAGGGAAATTGTCATATTTGTTTGAAGAGTGTTAGTGTGTTATTTTTTGACGATTTCAATAGTTTTTTAGAAAGAAAGGGAGAGAGAGAGAGAGAGAGAGAGAGGGAGAGAAAAAATTGGAACGTTCGGGGGCACGACACGTTCCTTTATTAAAACACTTTCATGTTCACCTCGTTCGAGAGGGTGATCCCCAACTGTTGAATCATTTATCACAGAGAAAGTGGATACCGATCTCGGGAAGGGTTTTTCATATTAATGAGTTCATCGAAAGTGGTTTCAGGGCGTATGTAAATTCGTTTACGTCACGGCGTAGTTTGAATTATCGCGGGGAACACGGATCACGGAAAAGGGGATTCGTTATATGCACGAATAGGAAGGGGGGCCGTTACTATTAAAGCAAGATGGGCAGCGGCGAGACTTTTGTGAGAGAAAGTACCGTTACAGCCGACGTCATAATTGTAATAAAATCAAGGTGGATGGATGAGCAGCGGTGAAACGGGATAGAGTGGACTCTATTAAATTTTCGAATAATGAAGTTTAATGTTTTGATCGCCACCGCCTCTCTAACTTGATCGCCTCGGATCCAGATACTCCGTCTAATGTAATAACAACTTATCCTCGCTTTACACGGCAATCGTTTAAAATTAACGACGTATAATTCTGCGGTAATTCTTTCAAACGTTCTCTTATTGTGTACAAATGTTACCATGGATGTTACCAGATAATTAACTTCCGAGAAATCACATGGTTTAAAACGCGGAAGTACGAAATACTCTCTAATGTGATAAACGATGGAAAAAGTCTCTTTCAGAGATTTCTCCTGGTTAATTTCTCGAAATTTCTCTGGTTTTAACAAGAAGGAAGATTTCATTCTTCGTGCTTCTTAGAATCTTTCGAACGGTGTAACCAATCGAAAGAAACAAATTTATTTGAGCCTCTGAGCCACCTGGGGCAGCAGCTATCCTTCATCCCATGGCAAGTGATTGTGCGATAGACATTTTCGATATGGATATTTCGATTTCGTAACTATACGTATACGTTTTTAAAAAAGATTTCACCTTCGTCAAATTGTAATCCCTTTGGTCGTCGAATTAAGTCCATTCGAAATTTTCATAATGTTTTATCTCTCAAATTATATTACGGTCCTTTGTAAATAGAAATTCTATTATTTTTTACTGATCCATGGGCCTCGAATATACTCAAAACATTTATATATACTTCATTGCTCATTACAGTAATTGATTCAAAGAGAAAAATTCTGGATATTTAACAAAATCGTTTAAAAATAATTAATAAAATTCTATTAATCAATAATTAATAGAATTTGCCATTTGATAAAAATTACTCGTTCGAAGATTATTAAATCTTACTTTAAAAACCAGCTAGAGATTTCTTGTTCTTCTCAATTTGCAGGAGAAAGAAAGAAAGAAAGAAAGAAAGAAAGAAAGAAAAATCGCTTTATCGATCGAAAGAAACTGTACTATTCCGGTTAATGAATCGTCTCGATCGATCCCTGAGTAGCTGAGATCATAGATCCGAGATCTGGTTCAAAAGATCTGGGTCGTCGTTGCGCAAGCCACTATGGAGGCCATCCGAAGTTTCAACGCGGCATCCGCGACTGTATTCGCTGTTGTCTCGAGACAAAAGGGGACAGAGACGGATGGCCGCTGTGAGAACGAAAGAATAATGTCACCTGCGCCTTGAGACTGCACGAAATTTCGGGTGAAAGCCGATAAGGGATAAAATAACGGTACGGCGAAACGTATCGACGCTTCGCGAGCTCGATCTCAAGGAAAAAAAAAAAAAAAGGAGTCGCACAAAAACCTTCTTTTTCCCTTCTTTCTTTCTCTCTTTCTTTCTCTCTCTCTCTCCTCTCACCAGTACGATTCTTTACGGTTTTCGGCGATACTTATCCATGTATCTTGCCTTTCCTCGAATTTACTCCTCTCCCATGGAGAGACACGATTGTCTCGTTTACTCGTGGAAGGTTTGGGATATTGTTCTCGCAACCGGAAACTTGCGGCGATGGAAAGAAGAATCCTTTTCATTAGAGAGTTACTTTTCTATTTTTAGAGAAAAAGTTTCGTTTGTTTGTTGAAAGTTTGTTGGATCTTTTCTAATTGAAAAATTTGAAATTTTATTTCTATTTGTTGAATCGAATCGAATATTCGAATTTTTGTAAATAAAAGTAAAGAATATATATATATATATATATATCATTTTCAAATAGAGATATATCCATATCCAATTACCCTAATGTGAATGAAAATTATATGAATATTCAATAATTGCATCGACGTAATTATCTAATTAAAAAGATAGAAGTTTCATCATTTTGCAAAGTTTTTTCTTTTTTTTTTTTAAACGAGAGAAAAAGAAGCTACACCTGTTCATCCATTTTCGAGAGATTATCGATCGATGTAACGTAATTAGACGGCAAATTAGGTTCCAAACAGCGTGTGGAAAGTTTCGACGAAGCGAGCTCCCTGGGGTGTAATTTACACGTGGATCATTAATCAAATCGATTGAAACTCGCGAATCAGCACGCGAAAAAAGAGAGAGAGAGAAAAAAAGGAACGATGGACGGTTTCAAACGCACGATTGTATATTCGACACAGCACAAACGAAGAGGAATCTTGAATGGGCCTGGTCAGTGTCCACTTAGCTCGCGGGCATTAATCTCCTCGTAAACTCGATGGGCCCATAAAATGCTGGCCGCGGCAGCCATTGTCCCGGCCGTGGATGCTCCTCTATTTTTCCGTTAGGGGGCGACTCGTTTAAATTCAATTAGAGACGAGGAAGGGTAGGAGGGGTACGCGTGGTTTTTAATTGATTCCACTGGCCATTACTTCGATCGGATCGGGACACCACGATAAATAACAGGTCTTCTCGATACGAGAAGTATAAGATCGTGAAAGGATCCATAATATTTTCGATCGAAAATATGTTTTCGCTTTCTTTTTTCCAATTTGCAAATTATCCCGTTCGAGTTGAAAATGGAAATAAATTAATCGCGAGTTTCTTAATGTTTCTTTTCTGCCTCTTCCAGATTATCAATTCCCGATTGACGTATCTGGCGTAGCCAAGGACCACCCCTTCCTCGAGACTGATTCCCTGCAGAGTCTATTTCGACGATTGCACGCTCTTAATCGGTGCGCTAATATGAAGATCGACACTCACCATACGCACAGTACTAGTCACAGCAAAAGCGTAAGTAATTATTTCTTTTTATATCCTTCGACTGGATAAATAAACGAACTTATAAATAAATAAACTTATACGATAAATCTAAAAAAAAAAAAAAGAAAGAAAAACTGTCGAAGGGATATATCGAAACGAGTAATTTTCCAAAATAAATTAGAAGGAAATTTCTACGACGAATATCATGAAATATCATTGGTTATCTTGGGTAAATATCTTCGCGTGTATCTTTCGCGTGTATATTTCGCTCCTTCCATTTCCTTCCTTCAGAATATTTTCTGAACATCGTTGCTCGAGTAGATCCTTTTCAAGATCCTTTATCGGTTAGAAATTTTTCAAAGGAGAAAGAGAGAGAGAGAGAGAGAGAGAGAGAGAGAAGGATCTCGAAAAGCGGAAATACTAGCAGAGATGAGGAATATTACGATAAAGTCTTGCCGTCACGAGGGTTTCTCTACCTAAAACGCTTCCAAGAATCTTAACGGTTTACGGGCCAGGGGGTGGATCCTTTCAAGGATCCACGTCCCTTCTTCTGAACTTCCGTGATGCGAGCGGATTATCTGTTTGAACGATGTCGTCTCGCCCTCGAAATTTTGGGAAAGTCGCTTTGTCGCTCCGGCTCCCGAAAGGATTCGTCATCCGAGGCGTTCCTCGCGCGTCACCTGAGCAATCTCATGATTCCTCAAGAGCCGCGGGAATGTCAAATATTTGACGTTTATCTCGGATCTTGTAGAGCGTAAATTCGTATCGCAAAGTGTTATATTCTTCTCGAATAGCTGTTTCTGCGCGTTGTAACAGGTCGCTGAAGTTTTCGAAAAATAATTTCACATTTCATTATCCGTTTTTCTTTGGAAAAATGTTTGTCACTCCGTTGATTCTTGTGATGTATATATTCGCGTATACTCGGTTATACACGACAGTCTTCCGTGTATCTTCGAGGAGGAAGAAGAGGAGGAGGAGGACAGTAAAATTCATATTATACACGGCGTTTCGAATATAGCGAAATATAATGGAAAGATATCATGGGATTAAACAGGGATTATTGTTTAAAAACGTTGCTCGAGAAGAAAGAGAATTTAAAATACGTTCCTTTATTCGAAAGTAGAAAGCAGGAATATACATCCGAATAAAATTAAAAATCCGCTCTTTCTTAAAAATCATTAAGAGGAAAAAAAAAAAATTAAATTTCCTAGCGGTATCGCTTATACGAATATCGCCTGGGCGTTAATTAACACATTCACCGTCGATCGTATTTCAACCAACTTTCCATTCACGTCAATTAGATTCTACACTAAAAATGTTGGATTTAAGAACGAGCCGCGATGAATATCGCGCGATCCCTTGTTAATTTCATTATTGTACAATTAATACGTTATTTTAAATTAACGATTAAGAATTCCGTACCAGCTTCTAATAATCACCACGGATATTTTATAACGCGCCACTTTTACGATGGCCATCGAAAATAACAGCAAACAAGATCAATATCGAAATTGTTTTAAAATTTGTAGAATGAATAAGCAAAACGTTGTTAAAGATTTTACTTTTCAATAATAAGAAATTAGCTATCGAAATATATCGGGATAAAGTGCGTAATTATGTAAAAATTAACGAGTTAAAAGATGTTAAAAACAGCTTTTCACGAATTTCCATCGTTGCACAACAATGGCGCCGATTCCATCCTCAATATTTCCCACCGCAACTGAAATTCCAACGACCCATAGTTTCGTCATCCCGTCGTCCGTGTTCCGCCAAACAGCGATGGGATCGGCGAAGCACGCCTCGTTATCTCGAATCTCTTTCACCATCGACTAATTGCAGACCCATAGCTATCGGGATTCAACGAGTTATGACACGTTTCCAACGCGTATGGTCATTGTTATGCGGGGCCCTCGGCCGTCTTGTGCTATTCTTACGATTTGTTTGAGGACGTACGTACGGATGGAATAACAACTAACGAATGTCACGTGACCAGGATAAGACTCGAGTTAATTATCGTGGAAAGTGTTGCCAGCCATGATGGAACGACGATGACCGTTGGAAAATAACTCTCGAGCCCGTCTTCCTTCGAGATTAAATAATTGAATTCATCCTCCAGTCGATTGATTCTTATCGGTTCGACGATGAATATTTTTCATTTCAAAGAGATCGTTCGATTCCTTATCGCCCGTGTTTATTATCTGAACAATTACAACGATCGATGACGATGGATCCGTCAAAACACGACTTTCAAGTCGCGCAATCTTATCAAGATTTGAAATATCTTGAAATTCCGTTATTATTATTATTATACACGAGAGAAAAAGATAAAGATTCCTTTGTGGCTTTCGCTTTCCCCCTAATGCCTAAGTTGGTTTAAATAATTTAATCGATAATACGAACTACATAATGGCCGAAGCAATCAAGATTTTCAAGAATTCTAGATTTACTTGGAACGATATACATTTCATTTGGCACTTTCGCTTTTTCTCTTAAGGCGTAAAATAATTTAATTACGTATACGTTGACGAATCGATAATATATCAAAATCTACGAAGGCTGTCTACGAACATTTCCAATTATATTCGAAATCTCATTACTACATATTGTTGACGAGTTTTTCTTATTTGGCACACGGGGGAAAAAAAATTTAAAGAAAATTTATGTGAAAGCGAGAATTGTACGTGGTGAATATACGATTGGTGTCATGGAACTCGTAAAGATCAAACCGAAAGAAATGTCCTCCGTTGATTATTGTTCAGCCTTCTCAAACAGGAAGTGTTCCAAAATTACACAATGAGAGAACAGGCGCTACGCGCATTCGCCTCGCAAATCAGAGTTAAAAGCGTTTTGTTGCAAGCTTAAATCAATTATACGCAACTCCCTCCTTTTGCCCGTGGGCCCATCCGATTAAGATCACGAGGATCAATTCGTGCTATCTCAAGAGAGAAAATTACTCGGATCCATTCACGCGCCTCTCGTAACAGTCGGCACAAAGGACGAAGTAACGATTGAATTCATTGCGACTGATCCGCGATTGCTGCTAGACTCTTCTTTTTTTTTTTCCCCTCCCTTTCCTTTTAATCCTCTTTATTTTATTTCCGAAAGAGAATAATTTCTTCCCTTATCGATCCTTCATCGACTTCGTCCCGCACCGTTCGAAATATCCTCGTTAACGTTGGATTTAACATTATTTTAGGATTTAACATTATTTTAGGATTTAACATTATTTAGGAATAATCCACGTTACGTGATACAACATTCCCATCCCCCCTCTTTTTCCCTTCAAAACTCGTTCGAATCGTTTTTCTCTCGACCTGTCTAATTTCCTAGAAAAGAAAAATAAATAAACAACTAGCATAAATAATTTCAAAGTGCAAAAACATCGAAGTAAGGGAAGAAAGGAAGGAAGGGAAAAAAAAGTCACCAGTTGATTCCAGTCGTACCACTCCACTCCGTTATTGACGAAAAATCGGCGGAACCGGTAATAAAGCTTTCTTCGCAGGTTGTCGGCGCGTTACGCGGGTCCAACGATCGATAGATCGTCGCGTTCGCGGAGATCGGGGACTTTCATGCCCATAAACGGTCCACCAGGCCCCGCGTTCTACTCGCTATTAGTGAGTCGCTCACACGTGCGTAGACACGCGCGCAGCTGCAAACAAGTGTCGGTGCTCTCACCGGAAGCGAGTGGACACCACCGCGCGTTATGCGTGCTCGTGTATTTAATAAATAGAAAATGTCGCGGAGTCTTTCTCTCTCTCTCTCTCTCTCTCTCTCTATTTCTCGCGTGAAATGGCCGACAAGTGTGTACGGGGTTCTCTGTGGTAAGCAGAGGGAGAGAGAAAGAGAGAGAGGAAAGAGAGAAAAAAGCGCTTGTATACGCGGGAATATTTTTCGAGCGGGGTCTCCCTAGATGGAGAGAAAGCACGTTGAGCGCGTTTATGGTATTAAACGCGTGGCATACGAAATCATTCGATATATCGTTTTTTTTTTTTTTTTTTTTTTTTTTTTTGCTGACAATTGCAACACGGGACGGGAGAATCGATCATAATTGACGTGATTTTTGAGCGGGATTTGTGTGCGAGAGAGTAGTAGTAGTATACGAGAGAGTATTAGGCACAGGTTGGTGGAAGAGATATACGGTGATAAAATTGCTTAACTATTAAATTTATGTACGTTCGTAATTGTTACGAGTTCTGGCATTATTGGAATTTGAGGACAAGTGGAAGATAATTTATGGAAGAGATATAACGAAGTAAGTGTTAATTGTGAAGTTGGATATGTATACGTAAAATTCTTAGAAATTTTCTTGTGGACAAACTAGTGACCTAAATCATAAATAATGTACAAAACTATTAAATTTTATGAAGTAGGTAAATTATTATCTGTACTTCTCGAAAGAAAATAGCTGCATCGTCCGCGATATTTATGACTTTTAGATTTAACTCCTTAGTGTATTGGATCAATATTGTTTCACGAGATGTTTCTTTTTTTAAACCCGTCGAGAATATTTTTTTTTTTTCTTTTTTTTTTTTTTATTCTCGTTTTATCGTCGCATTGACCCGATTCTCTGAACGTGGCCTATCGATCCGTGACGCGACCTTGAGAATTCACTATTATCATTCGCCGTGATTACTGACTCTGCAAATTCGTCGATCGTAATTCTCATTTGAAAGCAAATTTTTCACGGCCGAACGGGCCCGCGTTCAAGGTATCTGCAAACAATCGTCGAGTATCGAATACGGGTAAAAATAGTCCTTGACTTTATATTTAGATGGCTTCGAATTAATCGCGAAAATTAATTGTGCGTGACATCGAAAACTACTCGAGAGCAAAATTCCGCGATAAATTATATATATTGATAATCCTTAATGGAATTTCATTTCATTAACAAAATTCCTTTCACTTCGATTCAATTGATGAATTGATTTTGCGTCGAGTATTAAATAAATACTTAAATTCATATTAATTCGAATTACTTAATAGATATTAATTTAACTCTTTACAAAATAATCTCCATCGTTAATTTATTT